TGCATTTTAAAGCATATCTAGGGTGTTTAAATGATAAAGAATGCTAATATAGATATTAAATCGATGTATTTTTTTTAAAATAGTCTACTATGATCGAAATCAAAAATGCTTTAAATTGCATTTTAAAGCATATCTAGGGTGTTTAAATGATAAAGAATGCTAATATAGATTTAAAATCGATATTTTTTTGAAAATTATGATTACTATGATCGAAATCAAAAATGCTTTAAATTGCATTTTAAAGCATATCTAGGTATTATAAATGATAAAGAATGCTAATATAGATATAAAATCGATATATTTTTTTAAAAATAGCCTACTATGATCGAAGCCAAAAATGCTTTAAATTGCATTTTAAAGCATATCTAGGGTGTTTAAATGATAAAGAATGCTAATATAGATATTAAATCGATATATTTTTTTTTAAAATAGTCTACTATGATCGAAATCAAAAATGCTTTAAATTGCATTTTAAAGCATATCTAGGGTGTTTAAATGATAAAGAATGCTAATATAGATATAAAATCGATATTTTTTTTTGAAAATAGCCTACTATGATCGAAATCAAAAATGCTTTAAATTGCATTTTAAAGCAAATCTAGCTATTATAAATGATAAAAAATGCTAATATAGATATAAAATCGATATTTTTTTTGAAAATAGCCTACTATGATAGAAATCAAAAATGCTTTAAATTGCATTTTAAAGCATATCTAGGTTTTATAAATGATAAAGAATGCTAATATAGATATAAAATCGATATTTTTTTTTTGAAAATAGCCTACTATGATCGAAATCAAAAATGCTTTAAATTGCATTTTAAAACAAATCTAGCTATTATAAATGATAAAGAATGCTAATATTGATATAAAATCGACATTTTGTTTAAAAATAGCCTACTATGATCGAAACTAAAAATGCTTTAAATTGCATTTTTAAGCATATCTAGGTATTATAAATGATAAAAAATGCTAATACAGATATAAAATCGATATTTTTTTGAAAACTATGATTCCTATGATCGAAATCAAAAATGCTTTAAATTGCATTTTAAAGCATATCTAGGTTTTATAAATGATAAAGAATGCTAATATAGATATAAAATTGATTTGATCGATTTTCAAGAGGCGATAGCAAGTCATGGTAAAGTCAGAATATAGTAATTTGGGTTATTTTTATAAAGCTCTTGCTGAGGACTATAATATAGAGTTCAATATAATATCTGCTTTGAAAAAAAGTCTGGTGCCGCAAGAACTTTAAGAAAATTACCATTTTTCCTAGGTTTTCCAACTTTGACAGGTTCAAAACTACTGAAAATTTGAGGATTTCGAAAAATGACTTTCGATCCCCCTAATTGATTTTGTTGTGTGATCAAATGGCAGAAGAATTATTTTCCGAGACCTTTATGGCTCGGCTGTGACCCTGATCATTAAATTTGTAGACCCAAAAAAGACGTTTTTTGGCGTTTTGAAGGCATAGATGATGTCCAAAGGTATAAGTTTCCGGCCTCCTAATACACACATTTTGGTACCCTTTGAGATCTTTGAAAATGAGTCCTTTAGGCAGGATTAAAAAAAGTGTGTTTTTCGTGAAAGTAATAACTTCCACGCTTTTGCGTGGAAGTTAATGGCTGAGTTCAAATCGAAGACCTCCGAGTTACTCTCCCAAATTTGAGTCAAGCGCCTAACCTATTCGACCAGCAAGGCACTTTACTGCTTAACTTCCTGAAATTCAAAACTAAAACAAAGCTTTTTTTTCACTTTTTTATTGAGATTTATTTATTTATCGAACTCTGATTCACTATCAAGATTTAAGATACATTCTTAGCTATTGATTCATTTTTAAACAGGTTTCATTAAATGGAAAAAATCCTTTGAAAAAAAAAACATTAAATTGAATTTTCTCAGAAAATATTTTTATTTCGACTATTGTGCTATTGATTCAAGCTTGAATAAAAACTTTTTCTTCTATTTTCAAAGAACTTATGTGCTTCTTTATTTTGATTTTTAAATTATTTATGTTTGTCAAAGTTTAAAGAAGTTTTAGAATTTTTTTTTGTTTTAATTTTCTTGAGTTTTTTTTTTGAGGATCGATGATTGTGGAAATTGACATGCTTAATGTGTTGTCAATTTTGACAATCTTGAGGCTAGAAGCTTGGAATGAGCTTTGAGATACACTTAAGATATAGGTTAGGTGTACTGATCTATAGTATCAGTAGATCTTGTTCACGCTATACTCTTAGTCTTAGAGTCAATCCTACTACTAGAGTAGGTGTCTAAGGTGAGCTCCAATAGTTCATACCAAGCTTTTAGTCTCTTTATCCTTCAATTAATCATAAATGTTTCATGTCTATAATCAATATCGTATGTGATTCCTAATTATAATGTTCCTTATCAATTTCATAGATTAAATTTAATTTATAATTTTAAATATTTTCAAAATATTATTTTTGAAACAGGCAAATGTTTTTTTATAAAATGACGTCATTATCTACAAAATTCTTAAATTTTTTTGAGTTTTAATTTCATTGCACTTTTCATGTTACTTGTTCAGTTTTGAGATCAACCAGTGAAGCTCATAATTAGTGCTGTTTTCATAGATTTAAAATATTTATTGGAATTTTGAAAAAGTTATGTTCGAATTTTTTAATGTGGATTAACATAAAAATAATCAGGTCCTGTGGAAATTAATGTTATTACATTTAGTCACTTCTAAGATTGAATGAGCAAAATTTTATGAAAAATATATTTTAATTAGAGCTTTTTGAACTGTTTCCTTTAGTTTAGAGCTTTTTTTTAAAAAGCTAACCTTAATAAGACCCTTAGTGAAGATGCTTAGACCCCAACCCATCTTTTAACTCAGGCGCGTAGCCAAGGGGGTGGGGGGATTTGTGGGACAAATCCCCCTTCGTCTTGAGAAATTTCTTTATTTTGCTAGAGTTTTTATGAAAAACTCAAAAAAAAAACACCAACACCCCCCTTCCAAAAAAAATTTGCCCCCTCCCTCTTCAAATTTCTGGCTACGCCCCTGTTTCAATTTAATGCACTTCAGGGTCCATTCAGCTTCAACTGGTTTTCAGTAGTTTCAAAAGCTCATTTTTTATTTCTACCTAATTTCAAAGCTCAAAAAATCTCAATCATCAGGTGGGTGTGGTGTCGATTAGTGCACCCCATTGGAACCACATTAAGATCAGATTGGTCCAATAATTACTTTATTAATGATATCCTTTAAAAGCAGCAAAAATGTCAAAGACTAGGAACTCGAAGCTACTAATAAGTTTTAAATTCTTTAATTTTACTCACTTTTGATGTTTTCTGGTTCTAAATTATTTTTCAAAATGAATAATTCCAAAATTTTCTATTTTTTCGATTTCTTTTCTGTTTTATTGCTAATTGTTTATGATTTTCTTTTTTTTTTAAATTTTTAACTATAGGTAATCATTAAAGTTTTTATTATATCATTTATATCGCTGAAACAAGAATAGTTTCATCATTACACTGTTATTATAATTTGATTACAATCGCTACGATTAAATGGTTTTTTTTCTTCTTATTTAATGATCACAGATGATTATTATTTCATTTAATTCTTCTTTTTCGCTCTCTCTCATTTTTTTTTTGTTTTGTTAATTAAATATAATTCTTTTTAAAAGTATTTTTTGCAACTCTTTTCATCTTCGGTATCATTTTAATTCAATCTTTGTTGAATTCTCAGACTGGAAAGTCTGTGAAAGAGGGAAACTCTGAGTTTGTTTTTTGAAACAATTTGAATGCAATTTTTGACAATATCATGCACAGAACTGGAATTTACTTACGGATTGGGTGTGATTTCAAGTCTTTGATCAAGTTTTATTGACAATAATTGTTATTTTGAGAATTTAAAGCGACCAAAGATCATTTCTGGCGGGAAGAAATTTTTTCATGTGCTAAATTTTGGTATTAATGTTTTAGAAGTTCTCTAGCTGCATAGCTTACCAAGTATAGAACTGATAACAGCTAGAATAGTTTTAACCTTAATTCCTTCTATTCACTGACGCATATTCAATCAAGTTTGAATTTTACATCTTTAAATCTTTGTCTGACATAGGTTTCTCCTGTCCAAATTCTCCTTGCCCTGATTTACATTCGAAATATATGAAACAGCTGCCTATCAGGAACTGAAAGTCATAACTATCATTGTTTACATTATTTAACCAATCCTTCGACTTATCTTTGCGCCATTTTTATAAAAACTTCATACTTAAACTCAGTTAAATGTGCCAGTATTGGGAATTGCTGGATATCAGCGATAGAGCCAGCTTCAAGCGCCTTCTACGACAATGGATTTTAATTGGCCAGCGAATATTTCTAAGACTCGATAAAATTGTCACAATTCAGAGCTACTTCCCCTCTTTTCAAAACATAAGGAAATAAGAATCAACAAAATAGAATTAATTCATCACGCAAAAGTCTTTCTTTTTACATCATTTCATGTTATTTTTCATTAACATCTTTAAATAGATGGATGAATTTTTTAATCAACTACACTTAATTAGTTAAGGAGTCGCTCAATTATGACGTAAGAAATCAACGGTCATTTTTCAAAGAAGAACAATGGATTTCCAGGAATTACTATTGCTCTTTTCTTGCTGACCCCTTTTCGTGGACGTCATAAGTGGACGACCCCTAAGACTCCAATTGAGAAATAAAATAAAGGCAATTGTATTAAATTGTGGGACGAAATAGATGAGAATGATATTTTGGACATTTAACATAATCAAAGTTGGTCACCACAACAGACCAAATACTCCAAAAAATCATCCTCAAAGTTAATATCAATTCAATGTATATTATTCAGTGGATACATTTCAATAAAAAATAATTCATGACATTTACAAATACGATGAAGATTTCTTTTGGAGGATAAATATTTGTTTTTATATCTTTCTTTTTTGACATACTTTATTATACATACAAATGACATTCATGCTTTTTATACTCTATATAATAGATAATTATATGCTAAGATGAAGAAACTGTTTTCTTATTTTTTGCAGCAAAAAATAATAATCGTCTTGAAAACTCTTTTTTTTTGTTTCAATTTAATTGTTTTACTATACTTTGGTTTGAACCAGGAAGTCAAAAACTGTCTTTTTTCACGAATCAGATAGTCCGGAAAGCAATAAGTCTGTTCTGTGATGAAGTTTAGACACAAACACCACCGTTCATTTTTGAATTCTAAATTGGATAAAGGTTGTTGTTAATTTCAATAGCAATGCTTCAATTCTGTAAGGAAGGCAACTTTATTTGAAAAATAACGGTCGAAAAAAATTCAAAAATAACGTTCAGAAAATATTTGAAAATAACAGTCCGATAAGAAAGTTGCCAACCCCTGTCAAAATTAAAATTCAAATTACCTCATTGACATCACCGTTACTAATCACTTCAGCTCTCGATTCTTTTCGTCTTCTTTGGAATTTCTTGTATCGCTTCAAAATGGGAAGAACCATAAGAAGTGCGCCAGACATGATTATAAATCCTCCAGCAAGGAAAAATGACAAATTATAAGTTCCAGTTATATCACTCGCCATTCCAGCGATTGGAGGTCCCACTAAGTTGGCGATTCCTTGTACCAACAAAAGCAATCCATAGGCATTTGTAAATCTATCGAGATCAACTAAATTAACTAAAATTATGCTCGTTAATGAATAATTTGCTGCTATAAACAATCCAAATGCTCCGGAAAGGATGGACATCCAAGTATATGATGTAAAGAATGGAATTAAAACAACAGAAACACCGCACAGACCCATACAAATTGCATATACGATATTAGCATTTATCTCTTCACGATCTCCAGCCCATCCAAGTGCAATTTCTCCAAACATATTTAGGATTCCAATTAAACTAATAAGCATGCTCGCATCCGTATCTTGAACATTATTTTCTAATGCAAAATCCGGCAAATAAACGTAAACAACATCATACCATGTGTACAGTATGAAATTTGAAATGGCAAATAATAAGAATTGACTATCAAGGAAGTAACTAAAGTCGAGAATGTCCTTGAAAAGTTTCTTGAATTCCGTAAACATTTGCTGTGCGGTCGATGTCGTATCCGAAGCAATTGTTGTCATTGAATTACGATATATATCAGGACAGGAGCTTGCACGTAATCGATACTTATTAATGTTGAGCATAGCACCACGATAAGTAAGTGAATGTCGGTGTATCCTTAAATCCTTCAATATATCCATAACATGACGATGATGTTGATGATGATGATGATGTTCATGGTGTCTTAGCCATTTATCAGCCACATCTGTTTCCGACTCGCCAATTTGTATCGTATGACGATGCTTCTTATTTTGATGATTACTTGCCATTGTCATAGTTGTTGGTGACACAATCATGTTTATTGCTGGATCATTAGATGTTGTAATTTGATCACTTGCACTTAAACTTCTCGTTGTCAGTAAATGTGGATAATTGTGAAGGAGGACATCGTGGAAGTTTCGGTTCTTCGCTAGCTGCTCTAATACACCGAATGGAATCTAAAATGAGAAATTTTAAATTCAATTGTCAGTTTTTGGGAAATTCAAGGTATAGGAAAGCATGAAGCATCTCATAATCAGACCCGATTATATCAAAAAAAATCTTTGCACTCACCTTTTCGCCGTTCTTAACAAATGTCGGCAAATTAACTAATGAGCTAAAGAGATGTGGATCCTCTTGAGCAAAGGCTTCTATCATGCTTGTATCTACGCCATTATCATTGGGTCCTTCAAAGCCCGGTCCACCTGTATTTGTACTATTCGTAATTGAGAATGAGTCGTACGATGAGTTGCCGTTCTCCTTTAATTGCTTTTGATGTTTTCGTTTCTGTCTCGCACGATGTGATGTCCATTCGAGATCCTTTAATTAAGAGAAATAATTTAATTCCAGAAATAATGCCTGAAATACGACATGAGACTTACTCTCATTAAAGCACCACAGACACACATGTTGAGTAAAATTCCAGCCAATAATACTGTACATCCACGCCAGCCATAATGCGTAATTAGATATTGTATCAATGGTGGAAATAAAAATGTTCCAATTCCACTTCCGCAAACACTTATGCCTGTAGCAAAACTACGTTTTTTGTCAAAATAATATGCGACAATGACAACAGCTGCAACGTAGCATAAACTCAGTCCAAAACCGGCAATTATTCCAAATGTTACAAATAACATTTCCATAGAATTTGAGGCAGCCGATAAGAGGAATCCAATCGATGCTGTTATAGCACCAACAATTGTTACTTTACGACATCCATATCGATCAGTTAAATAAGATGCAATTGGACCACTTAGTAAAGGCGTTGCCATAAATATTGAACTAATCCATGCTGTCTTTCCTTTTGAGTCACCAAAGTACTTTAGAAATTCCACATTAAACACACCAAATGAGAATGTTATGCCGTCCGCAATCATGTTTATTAAAAAGCTAACGAATACAATTAACCAGCCATATCCACCATCGGGTGCTTGAAAGACAACTTCAGAAAATTCATCGTCATCGTCTGAAGAGCTTGATGATGAGCTCGACGAGCTAGTAATTGGAGATAATGGACTTTCTTCATTCTGTCCTGTTGCCTGCTCATCAGATGAGTCTAACGATGTTGATTGAGTATTTCCACCGTCTTGCACAGCCAATGGATTATTATTATTATTACTATTGTTGTTTGTTTGATGATATCGGGTAGGATTCGTAGATGATTGCCAACTCAATCGTTTGCTCTTTGTCTTTACAGTTCCATTGAGTGGTAAAGAGGGTCGCAAATTACCGGAATTACTCTTAACAATTGATTTTAGTAGTGGCTTTATGTCCTCATCCTCATCTTCCTTATCATTATTATTTAATCTATTATTATTATTGTGGTTGTTTTTACTGTTACTGGCCTCATAAACATGATTAACAAATTCATTATAAATTGGTTTCGATTGGCACGAATTGATGGTGGTTATTGTTGCTGTTGGAGTTTGATGATTTTTATTATTGCTTTGTTCCTGGTTTCCGTTAATAATTTCATCGTTTTCCTTCCTAATCTGCTCATTATCACTAATTAACGAATTATTTATAAATAATGGTAAACTTTTTAATAGTCGATTTTCTCCTTCGATTCCTTCCTCATCATCAACAAGGCATTCTCGTTCACATGAGCCATTAATGCCTGTTGTTCCTGCTGTTGCTGTTGTTGGTGATATTGATAATATTTCATCAATTTTATTTGCGTTAATTGCTGTTGTGGTAGAGATTGTTGAATCCATTGAATCTCCTTCGTTATTAACTTATTTTTAAACTGCACTGGCTGACGGAGTGCGGTAAAATTGAAATTTGATGTGGCGATCATGCGGATTACCTTTGGAGCAAATAAAACATTAATTTCATTTGAATTTATGGCACCTGGTTGTGTGTTGGTGTATGTATAATATTAATTAATGTAGTAAACGGCTCATTTGACTAGTTTAGAGTCTTTGAGTGGAACTAATTTCACATAAAGAAAATATAATGACCAGATTAGCTATAATGACTGTAATAAAGTCAATGTAAGTTAATTTAAAATTCTAAGCATTTTATGCGTCCCAAACTTAATAAAATTGTCTTCATTTCCATAAAGAGTTTCCTATACAAGCTATAAATGTGTATTTAATAGAGTTCAGTACTTTGCATTGTCTGGTACAATACGGGATGGAAATATAAAGTATTGTGAGCTTTACAAGCAGTTGCACACAAGTTTGTTCATGTCAAATTCTTGTCAACTTAGTCTGACATCCCAAGGAAATTTTATGGCATAGATGGAGCTAAAGGTAAGTTTGAGACACCCTCCCCTTTACAGCTAGGAAGGGAGGGGGGGGGGGGGTCAGACCTCTTGAAGTGCAAATTGAATTCACTCCTCAGCTACATCCTAACATCATCAAAAACATACAACTTACTTCTTTTTCTAAAGATTCAGAATAATCGTTGCTGTGTTGCAAAAATGTCACTTTTTGTAGTGGCGAATAATTCGTTTGCTTGTTGCTGATTAAAATGTCTGCCATTTACTTGTTATGAGCTCCGTTTCTCCTTAACTTTTTTGTTGTAGAGAAACTGCTGATTTCTCTTCTTTTTGGATTTAAACTTTTATTTGTATTTAGGGTCTATATTTTACTGAGCACGCTGTGTCGTTTAGATTTAATTAATCTGTACGAGAGAGAAGAAGTGGATAAGGAAAAATTAAATATATATCATGTTTAAATTTTAGCATAGTAAAGAATAAGGTTCTGTTAGAAAAGTTCCATTAGATTTTGATTGAAGACCTGCGATTCTCAAACTTTTGTGTTATCGATTTTATTGAACATTAGTTTTGGCGCGAAAACAATTATTGAGAGAACTAAAAATACAAAATAGTTAAGCATAAGCTCATCATATCCATACAGTCCAAACAAAAACAAGGGAGTGTTACGTAATAAATTCAATGAGCGTTCAATGACATTTCAGTTTTCAATGATTTTATGTATGATTATTAAGTTAAGATCCACTCAATTGGAAATATTGCATCATTCGAGAGCTTTCACTTGAGCAACAACGCAATTGTAATTTTCTAGAATGTCAAGTTTTGAAGTTCACAAACTCTAAAATGTGCATGGTTTATGAGAACTACGCCTTTCGAGACTCACACACCTTAAACCTTAGTTTTAAATACAACAGCTTGTACTAGAATCGACTAAGACTATGTGTATGACAACCCAGACAAAACCTTCTTATTGACAGACTTCATTAATGACAAATAGATACTTAAGTCTGCAATTTTCTAAGCATTTCTCTCAAGGGTTTGCAAGTAATTATTATGATTTCATGCAATACAATCTATCTTAAAAATATATAAACACTCAACATCAGTCAGCTATTTGCTTGTTTAATGAGCGGTCAAGATCTGTTTACTCTACATCTGCAATTGATATAAAAAGTACTTAATAAAAAAGGCAACAAATAAGAGAGAGCGAAGTATTATATTTTATCATTTGAACTTCATCGATAGAAGCATTTCACATCGTTACAATTCTCAACACATCCATCCATTCAGTCATTCTCTTACAGTGTTTTCATTTAAAATTTAAAGCTTATAAATATTTGTATTTATAGTAAACAGCTGAGAATTCCCACTTTTTATATACACATTTATAATCATTCATCTTTGGCTGTAAAATGCTACAACTTTGTTGTGTTATATGGTTTATAGCTGCTGTGCTGTGTCTATACATGCAAAAAATTTGTGTATTGATATTTATAAACTTTTTTGTTTTCATCCGCGTGTATTTATTGCATTTTAAAACGCTGTCGATCAATGCCAGTTTTTGTTGTTGTTCCTATAACTGAGGTTTGTTCGTGAACTAGCATAAACTTGAAAAACTTTTGAATAATAATCATAAATCTAGTTTATTTCCATGCCGATAATATATTTTCAAGCAAATTGCTGAAATGAGCACTTAATCCCGGAAAGTACAATAAGATCGTCCGGCGTTTGGTCCAATATACTTCAGGTATGGTATAGTAAACGTTAGGGTACACTATAAGGAAGTATAACCAAGATAACAGCTCCAGATTACTCCTTAGATTCGAGGTTGACTGTTAATTAGCTCTAAAAGATACCCTTACAGCACCATCAAGGCAGAAACTTAAATTAACCATAGCTTGTCGCTCGGGAATGGAAGTTATTTAGTTTTCTGTTATCTAAAGTGCTCTACCTTATCATTATCTCTGAATTGCTGGGTAAATCAACAAATTAAGCTGTTCTTGTTGATAGAGACAGTAAACATATTTAAATACTGATGTTATTTAAGTACTTTGAAATGAAATAGAATATTTTTTAAGCACAAAGTACAAACAGTTGCACACAAGAGTGTTTCATAAATAAAAACCACATGATATAAAGTTTCGATGTGTGATTAAATAAAGATCATGTTACATTAAACACAAATATGTAATCATCCATGAATGAATCAATTATGGCATTTGAATGGAAATGATTCTTTTGTGATTATTACAAAGAAATCGCATGAAGGCGCTCTGTTTGCAAAGTGAAATGTTCCATGAAAGTTATAAAAATGACTTCGAGAACATTATAAATGAATTATTTTTAAAGAAATAGGTCATAAAAATTCCATTTTGATAGCACAAGTATCCAAATGGCAGCAAAACGTGAATTTTACTCCCTTATCAAAGTTTATCAGGAATTTTTGATGCTTAAACTCATGACATGACCTAGCAAAATGTGATTAAATTCTTTGCAGTAACTTTTATTGATTCCATAGTCGTCAACAAAAGTGGATAAAGATTAGATACGAAATTTCGATATTTAATGATTTGAGTCAACTGGAGCCAAAAAAGAACTCTTCATTTTTTGCTGTGTGCATTAGGTTATAAATAGGAATTGGCTGAGATTGCAGTTATAGAATTCGATTGGGCTTCTCCGAGTTTAAACAATCCGTCATTTAATCCAAAGGTTTAAAAGATAACATGATCTCTTTTAGGCTTAAGAATAAGCTTACTTTCCTCTGAATTATTCACACTTTATTGATCCACAAAGCTCACAAATCATCAATCAGTTTTAACCTCAAAACTATTTTCCGCAAACAAGGATAAATTCCATATGATCGCGTGTTAACTTTCCAAACTGATGTAAAAAGAAATTGAGGACTTTGACCTTAGCATTGACGAGGAAATCATGCATATGAGTAAAATTCATCAACACTTTAGAAAATAATCATTAATTTTATTATCAGAACACTTGATACGAGTTTAAGCTTAGCCTGAGGCTAGCACAAATATTCTAAAAGTTTTAGTGCACTATTAAGGAAGAAGAATAGAACATTATCGTTTCTTATCAGGCTCCATTGACAGAAACATAAACACATTACAAGAATATTTTCTTTCCTCTCTCTTTGCTCCTCACATCATCATGATAGTGAGTCATGACTTGATATGAAAAAGTAATATTGATAATGAATATATTAAACCAAGTGATGAGAACAAGTATAGGAAGACATTTGGCATTCAAAGCGTTGTTTGAACTTTGCTGACGTAAGGCTGTACTTTTCACAATTTCACAGGAGTTTTTTGTAATCTTATAAATTTATTTTTGAAGTTATACGAAATATAACGAGTTTGTAAAGAATAATCTAGTCAAAAACTTGCCCTACTCTAGTTTACAGAAAACAATATTTTTGACACTAAAAGCATCAGCTGTCAGCTTGATAAGAGCGTTCTAGAACTGAACTTAAATGTGATTACGACTAAGAAATTTTAGTGCGATTAACCTCATTTATGAGATCAAATGCAATTGAACAGCATATTGACATAGAAACTAAAATTAAGATTGAAGACTGCGATAACTTTGCGATAAGAGCATAAAGCTCTATGGTGGAGAGAGTCCAGCCTTACATTATGGGGTCTATAAGCTCTAATATAATTTATAATATTTCCATCAAATTATATTTCTCTCGATAAAGTAAAAACTAGCAAAAACTTCAGTTAATTGTGCCTTTTAGAAGCTATCCGCCGAGTGCTAATTAGATATAATACCTTAATGTTTATTCAATATTAGTAAAGCCTACATTGTTGCTTATCAAGTCAAAGCACATTTTCATAATTAAGTCGTAAAAGTGCTAAAAATGACGTGTCTTTCGAGGCTGCGGTCTGAGAGTTCATTGCACCGAAAACTTTTTGATTACTCTCATAAGAAATGAGCCTATCAATCATATTAATAATTCTCTTATTGAGTTATCATTAGAAATACACCGTCTTGTAAATATGAATCGTCTTATTTTATTGCCTTATTTGATTCATATGCGGATACTGATAATGAAAGACTACTTCATGCTCTCAATGGATTGTCGCCGACAAAACGAGAAAGAGCTCATTAAACTTATACGAGTGTACTCATCACATCCGAACGAATAAAATTAGTTAAGTGAATGAGTAAATAAGTCAAAGTAAGATTATCATAAATTATGGTGCAACATTATGCTTTTTCATTATAAGCTAGTTATTCTCATTCCGCAAACTGCAGAGAGGGACGACAGAAAGTCGAAGATGAAAGAAGAAATGAGAGCAAGCATTTCATTTTAAATTTGTGAATCGTACATGTAGATCAATGAGATATTTTTATGTTCCATTTATGAAGACAATATCATTGTATGATAAAAAGGTTCAGTTCTTGTCGACAGAGTTGTTGGCTTAGACTAGAGCAAGTCGCTGCCTGGATTAGCCTGGTCATTGACTAGATCAGCCAAAATAGTACATCATATGAAACTAGTAATTACGATTATGTTTTTGAACGTTTCGA